CCGCCCCCTTCGCAGAGTCGCCTGATAAACAGTGGCCGCCTGTCCCACCTCCGGGCGCCCGGCGCCCTCCGAGACCCCTCAGTTACCTGGGCTGCGACCGGCCGGCGGGGATTGGCCGAGAGGAGGCACCCTGCACGGGACTGCGACAGGCTCCAACTCTGCTGGGTTGGGGTCGCTCCCTCCTGGGTCCTCCCCTGCCGGGGACCCAGGAAGGCCAGGACAGAGCCCACCCGGAGTCTCTGCGGCGTCTGTGGCGGTGGAGGAGTGGGGTGGGGGGCGGCCGCAGCCCCTCCTGCCTGCCTGGGGAGGCGGAGGCTGAGCAGGGACCCCGCAGGGAGGGGCAGCCCCCCTTGTCCCGAGTGAAGACCGCAGACAAACTGGAAACCCAACACCCCCAGAGGAGTAGGACCAGCCCCTGGGGAGGTCCTGCAGTGGGGCTCCCTGGCAGCCTTGAACTTTTTCCCTTTTCCACCGGAGAGGAGCTGCTGCGGGCCAGGCCCTCCCCAAGGTCACTCCACCAGCCCTCCCTCCGGGTCCCGTCCTTACCCCCACAGGCCTAGGCCTCTGCTTTGTGTCTTGTACAGAGCCGGCTCCACAGCCCCCTTGGGATCAGCTGGGGTGTCGCGGGCCTCTCTGGTTCCTGGCCAGGTGGTTTGGTGTGAAACCCCGGGAGGCCCCTGGGGCTCTCCTGGGGAGGGGGCGCAGGTTTCCTCGCCCCTTGCAGGGTAGGATGGCCTGGACTGACCTTGCTGTTCCCTCACAGATGTACCCTGCTCGGGCCGCCCCACACCACATCTAGCCCACCTGCCGCACTGCCCGCCATGTCGCAGATGCTGCACATTGAGATCCCCAACTTCGGGAACACCGTGCTGGGCTGCCTGAACGAGCAGCGGCTGCTGGGCCTCTACTGCGATGTGTCCATCGTTGTCAAGGGCCAGGCCTTCAAGGCGCACCGGGCCGTGCTGGCCGCCAGCAGCCTGTACTTCCGTGACCTGTTCAGCGGCAACAGCAAGAGCGCGTTCGAGCTGCCGGGCACGGTGCCGCCCGCCTGCTTCCAGCAGATCCTGTCCTTCTGCTACACGGGCAAGCTCACCATGGCGGCCAGCGAGCAGCTCGTGGTCATGTACACTGCTGGCTTCCTGCAGATCCAGCACATCGTGGAGCGCGGCACTGACCTCATGTTCAAGGTGAGCTCGCCCCACTGCGACTCGCAGACGGCCGTGATGGAGGACGCCAGCTCCGAGCCCCAGAGCCCCTGCAACCCGCTGCAGCCGGCCGCCGCCTCGGCCACCGCCACGCCCTACGTGGTGTCGCCCTCCGTGCCTATCCCGCTGCTGAGCCGCGTGAAGCACGAAGCCATGGAGCTGCCACCGGCTGCCGGCCCGGGCCTGGCCCCCAAGCGCCTGCTGGAGACAGGGCCACGGGACAGCGTGGCGGTGGCTGCCGGGGCCGCAGTGGCTACCGGTGCGGCCCCGCTCAAGCTGCCCCGAGTCTCCTACTACGGGGTGCCCAGCCTGGCCACCCTGATCCCCGGCATCCAGCAGGTGCCCTACCCTCAGGGGGAGCGGACCAGTCCGGGGGCCAGCAGCCTGCCCGCCACCGACAGCCCCACGTCCTACCACAACGAGGAGGATGAGGAGGACGACGAGGCCTACGACACCATGGTGGAGGAGCAGTACGGCCAGATGTACATCAAGGCCACGGGCAGCTACGCAGGTAACATGCCAGCCCATGGTGGGTACGGTAGGCGCGGGTCCAGGGTGCGTGGGAGGAGCCAGGACGCAGTGACCCAGGCTCTGCCCGTAGGTGAGCGTGCCAGGGAGCCATGTCCGACCCCAGGCAGATGAGACGGAGGCTGTCAGTGACCTCAGACTTGCGGGGTAGCCACTGGCCCTGAGGCCACAGCTTCCCTATCTGTGAGGCTCCCCGGGGCCCCACATGTCAGGCCTCCCCCCCGCCTCCAACCTCAGTAGGACCGGAAGGTCCTACCTCTGGGTGTCCTGGAGCCAAGACTCCCTGTGCTTGCCTGTGTGCCCACCTCCCTGGGCCGGGCACTGGCGGGCAGGCCAGACAGCACTGGGTGTGGGGCATGTCCCTGGTCTGCTTTGCTAAGGAGAGTGCCCCCTTTGGAACCCGGGGGCCTGAGCTGCCGTGATTTGAGACCCTGGATGTTGTGCACCCCCTGAGACCATTCAGGGTTCACTGTGGTTGGGGCTTCCCAACCCTGCTGGTCTGGGATGTACTGAGGTAGCGTGGGGTGCCCTCTCCCGGTTCTCACACCCTCAGAGGGTGCCTTGCCCCTCCTGGGGCAACCGGGAGCACCCCCAGCCTGGGCCTTGGCACAGCCTTGCACCTCTTGGAACACTGTGGCCTGTGGCCGCAGACTGAATGGCAGGGTCACTGCTTCTGCCTGGGTACCCCATGCCCTCTCAGAGCCTTGGGGAGAAGCCACTGTCCCTACCCAATGCCCTCCTGGCTAGGGCTTCACCATGGCACTTAAGTGAATACTGGGTCTCATGTGGGTTCTGCAGAGCAGAGGCTACACCCCTGTAGACTGGGCTGAGTGTGCCCAGGGGTCAGGACTGGCATCTTCCTGAGTTGGCCTGGATGTGCTAGACATATGCCCTGGGGCTGTGCCTACTGTGCAGTTTCCTCATGCTGTGGACTCTGAGGAGGAAGAGGCGGGGCCGAGACCCTTCCTCCAGGGACCACACACTTGGAGTTCTGTAGGCTGCAGCCCCTGAGAATGCCACCCTGCATGGTGGCCGTGGGTAGGGCTGGGCCAAGGGCCAGCCCTGACCTGGGATGGGGTGGGCACTGCCGGAGCACAGGGGTCAACGGCTCGTGCGGTGCCCATCCTCAGTTCCCGATCAGCTGGTCCCTGACAGGGTGGCCACCTTGGCGGGTCTCTGGAGGAGCTGGTGGCATTCTACACAGTGTGTGTGCAGGAGGGCATCTGGGGCTGAGCCGCTGCCTGCTGGCCTGATGCTGAAGGACGTGGAGGCCAAGGCTCTGGAGGCGTGGGGGAGCCTGGCTGGCCCCATCCGTGCCCCGCTGTGGGTCTTGGGCACTGAGACCTGGGCCTGGCTCTGCCCAACACACTCAGGACGGCTGCCGGCTCTTCTCACCCCAGCCTCCTTGTTTGCAAGCCCATAAGTGGGGCAGAGCAGGGACGTGAGATTCTTGGTTCAGATCTAGGTTATTGGCAGTGACGTCGCTGGCATCTAAGTGTGCTGGGGGAGGGAGGCCTGGCCACAGCAGGGCTGGCCCTTGGGCCGCCCTGGGTTCCTGTATCTGGCTTCCTGCTGGGGTCATCCCCATCCGACCCCGTCAGGGGCTGGGCAGGATGCTGGCTCTGAGCTCCGGGATGTGGGGAGCTCCCAGGTGCCCTCCTGAGGAGTCCCCACTCCTTCCTGCCTCAGTTTCCCCCCTGTGAGCTGAGACGTTAGCCGGCGGGACCCTGGCATCTCAATCCAGTGCCCACAGTGCCCTGGGTGTGGTGATCCTGAGGCGGGTGTGCTCCGGCGCCCTGCTTGCTGAGCCCCGTGGATGGTGTGTCCAGGGCACAGAGCAGACTCATGTCATGCAGGTGAAGGTGATAGCTTCGGCCCAGCCTGTGGACTTCTGGGTCTCCATCTCTGCCTCCTTTGCCCACGTGCTCAGCAGCTGCCTGGGGGCTGCCACCTCGATTCGCCCCATCCTCCACTGGAGGACACTTGTGGGCAGCGTTGTCCTTGGGGAGTTGGCTCCCAAGCAGGCTCCCTGGGGGCCACCCAGGTGCCTACTGCTTGGTGCCTCGCAGTGCCCACTCCGCCTCTGTCCCTGCCCACATGGGGCATCGTCCTTTGAGCTGTCAGCAGTGGGGTGACTTGGCCAGTGTCTAGGACAGGGTGGGATTTGTCTCAGGAGCAAAGTGCAGGGAAGGCATGGTGTGTATCAGACAAGAAGTTGCCCGCCAGCTCCCCGGGCTGCTGCTGGTGAGCTCTTCCAGGAGTGAAGCATACTCTTGAACACATGCATGTTGCACACACACACACACGCATCAGGGACATGGCATCCTGAGCTACACACCGAGCGACTTGCTTGCAGCCCTGTGATGATGTGCATCAGGGGCCAGCACTGAGCAGGGGCTGGCACCAGTTGGGGGCCGTACAGTCAAAGACCACCCTCTCCTGCTCTGCCCCTGTTCCTGGAGAGTGTGCCAGGGCTGGCTCCCTCAGGAGCAGGTGGCTTGAGTCTGGGTGCAACCCCTAGGGCCAGGCAGGACTCGCCCTGCTGGGAGCTCTCTTCCTGTGCACGGTTCCATGGGCCCACTGGCCCTGCAGCCCAGCATTGTGCTGGCCGGAACCACTCTGCAGCCGACCGCCCAGGAAGACAGCACACGGCCGTCGAGGGCAGTTGTCAGTCCAGCACGTGTAGCAGGGGTGAGCAAGGAGAGCTCTTGTCCTCTGCAGGGGAGCCAGGCCCCCTGCCACCTCTGTGACCATCCCCCACAGGCCCTCGCCCAGCAGCCACTGCTCCCAGGGTCTGAGACAAACCTGGGCCTCCATGTCCGTGCCAGCCCCACCTCTAATCCTTCCCCCAGGAGTGGTGGCCCTCTCCAGCCTTGCTCCCATCCTGGGGCTACCTGCCCCTGGCTCTACCACTGTCCCCTGCACGAACCCCTTCAGGTGTCCTGCGAGCTCAGTATCCAGCTTGGGGCTGGCCATGACTTGGAAAGTTGGGGCCACTGGGGACCTGTGAGGGACCTGTGTGTGGCCTGACACCATTGTCTGGTGCCGGGAGGCTGGGCAGATACCACACAGAGCAGTCCTAGCTTGAGGTGGCCCAATGTCCTGGCTGTACTCTCTGAGCCCATGCTCCCGTGGCCCTAGGCCTGTCCCTCCCCAGAAACACCTGTGCAGTCACATGGGCTGCTCCTGTCCCACAGGTGAGTGGCCCTGCTGTGGGGATGGCAGGGCTCTGCCTGTGGTGGTCCTGCTGGCGGCCACACATGCTCACGGCACAGTGTGGCCCATCTAGGCCCGGCCTGGCCAGTGGGCAGGAGTGCCTGTTGGAGGCTACTCCTGGCAGCGGCTCAGAGCTCTTCAGAGATACAAAAGAGGGCTAGACTTGGGTGGCTGAGTGTACAGTCCCCCCGCCACCACCACTCTCCCTTGGTCCAGGTGTGGACGGTCCAGGCCGGTGCTGCTGCGGGGTAGCGGTTCCATTTCCATTGGCAATACCCTGCAGCCCAGCCAGCTGGGGAGGGGACACCAGTCACGCACCGGACTCCGGTTGCGGCCCCCGGGTGGCCCTGGGGTCACCTGCTGGCCCTGCCCCTCACTGGCTTCTGTGCAGCCCTGTGCACCCTGGCCCTGCACACCCGATGTTGCTTCTGCCCTAAGCTGTTGTGTCAAGATCAGGTGACCCCAGCAAGGATCCATCCGAGTCTTGCGGTGGTAGTCGTCCCCCAGAAATGTTCCCCAGGGCTCAGGTCACCGGCCCCAGCATAGCCTGGGTATGGTGTCCATGTGCCCAGGGTGGGGCTTCACCAGCTCTAGGTGGAGGTCTCTGCACTCTGCCAGCATCACTGCCTGTCCCCCTTGAGCACCAAGCACCTGTCTTCAGCACCAACACCAAGTGCAGGGCCCAGGCTGGGGAGCTGGGAGCAGCCCAGCCCAGCATTGCCATGGAGATGAAGCCAGTCCTGGCCCAGAGTGTCCCTGTCCTGTCCCCTGTCCGCTGCCTGCCCCTGACCACTGTCACCTCTCTTGGGTAGAATTGTGGTGAACAGGGCCATCTGCACGCAGATTCTGTCTGCTGCATTTCCTGTGTTTGGGGATTCGTCTAGGGGTCTCTGCCAGGTGATGTCTCTGCCCCTCCTGGTCAGGCTGCCTGTTCCTCCGCAGTGTGGTGGACAGACCCATGGTGACGGACCCCAGCTGCTTCCCAGCAGGGCTGTCATGCAAGCCAAGATTGCCGTGGGCAGGGTCTCTGCCTGTGTCAGGAGAGGAGCTGCTGGGCCCGGTATTTGTGCGTTCACCTGTCTGCTGCCCGGTGCTCTCAGGAGGTGGATTGACTCTGTCCACTTACCTGGTGTCCCAGCCACACAGGTCACCTGCTGCCTGCCCCCCACTGGCTTCTCCGTGGTTCAGGGCCAGGTGTGCCATCTTGGGGTGTCTGCTTGTGTTTCCTGGCATTTGTCTCTGGACGGTCTTCCTGTGTCAAATAACCGTGTCTAATAACTTTAATGTCATGCTGTCTCCAAATATTCTTGCCCAGCGTTATATATATATAATTTTTTTTTTTTTTTTTTTTAAGATCTCTAGTTTGTAAGCAAATTCTCCATCAAATATTTTCTCCTGGGTCGACTTGGTTTTTACGATCTCAGTGGTGTCTTTCAGAGACCAGAACTGTTTAGTGGAGGAAGAACAGTTCGTTGGTGTTTTATCTCGCACCAGTGCTCTTGAGGCCCAGTGAAGTCCTGTGTTCCTCCCTTCATAGGCTGTGCACCCACACATGTGTGTGTGTGAGCGTGTGCCGGTAGCCCTGTGGCCTTGCTCTTGGGTTCTGGCTGCCAGCTGCTCAGAGTCCGCTTCTGTGTGATGGGGGTGACAGCGAGCTCGCTTGTCCCACGTGGATGCCCGTTGTTCCGCAGCCAGCTCCCGAGTTGCACGTTGGCGAGAGGTGGCCGCTCCCCCACCCATGTCACATCACACACGCAAAATGTGGGG